CAACGTCTGAGGCGGAGCTAGTGCGTAGAGGAGCGGTCTCCGCGTATCGTGTGAGGTGGTCGACGGCTGTGACGATCCAGCGGTGGCCCGCTGGCGTTACGGGAAGTGGCCCGACGAGGTCTATTCCGACAACGGCAAAAGGTGTGTCGGGACATGGAATAGGTTGTAATAAGCCAGCAGGAGCTGAAGTTGGTCGTTTCCGGCGTTGACAAAGTGCGCAAGAAGCGACATAATTAGCCACAAAAGTAGAAAGACCAGGCCAGAAGAAACGGCTCCTAACGCGGTTGTAGGTCTTTTGAAATCCCAAGTGTCCAGCTGATGGGTCGTCGTGCAATGCTTCGAGAACTTGTTTTCGCAGCGAACGGGGAAGTACTGGCACCCACCGATGCCCATCCGCATTGTAAGTATAGTGTTGCAGGACATTGTTCTCTAGCTTGAACAGCCGTAGCTGACGACGTAGTCTGGCATTAGGGGGAGAAGGCGAGCCATTCAAGTATCCGATGATGCGGTTACAGTAGGGGTCGTCACGTTGGTACGCGGCAAACTGGGCGCTGTTGTTTAAAGGTAGCGACCCAGCAACTGCCAGGGGTGATAACGTGAGTGAACAGGAAGCCACTTGATCACCTGAGGGGCATTCGGGATGCGTGGTTGGAGATGAAAGTGGCAGAGGGCAGCGAGAGAGAGCGTCAGCATCCTGATGCTGTTTGCCGGACCTGTACACAACGTCAAAAGTGTACTCTTGCAAACGCAGTATCCAGCGACCGAGGCGCCCAGACAAATTCTTCAGCGAGGACAACCAGCATAGGGCATGGTGGTCGGTAACCACAGTAAAGTGGCGTCCATACAGATAAGGTCGAAATTTCTGGATGGCCCAAACGACAGCGAGACATTCCTGCTCTGTTATCGAGTAGTTTTGCTCTGCAGGTGTTAGTGCGCGGCTGGCATACGCAACTACTCTCTCACGTGAAGTGTCGTCGCGCTGGAGGAGGACAGCACCGATTCCGTGGCCGCTGGCATCTGTGTGCAGGAAAGTGGGTGCACTCTCATCGAAGTGACGGAGGACGGGGTCTGATGTCAGAGCACGCTTAAGGGCTTGGAAAGCACACTCGCACTCGTCAGTCCACGTGAAATCCATCCCTGACGTCAGAAGCTTGTGTAACGGCCCCGCAATGGCAGCAAAGTGACGGATGAAGCGGCGGAAGTAAGACGCCATGCCTACGAAACTTCGCAATTGTTTTTGATTGCGCGGACGTGGAAAACTAATTACGGCAGCAACCTTGTCGGGGTCGGGTCGAACGCCGTCTTTGCTGACAAGGTGACCCAATACTTTGATGCTTGTGCTGGCGAAGTGGCACTTTTTGTATTGAGCTGTAGGCCAGCGTTCGAAATGCACGTTAGAACTTCGTCCAAACGCTTAAGGTGCTGAGAAAAAGTAGAAGAATAAATGACGATGTCGTCTAAATAACATAAACAGGTTTTCCATTTGAGACCACGTAAGACAGTATCTATCATGCGCTCAAATGTTGCTGGAGCGTTGCATAAGCCAAAGGGCATGACGTTAAATTCGTAAAGCCCATCAGGCGTCGCAAACGCTGTTTTCTCCTTGTCTGCTTCGCGCATAGGTATTTGCCAATACCCGCATCGGAGGTCGAGGCTGGAGAAATATTCTGCGCCTTGTAGGGAGTCCAGGGCATCATCTATGCGTGGCAACGGATATACGTCTTTTTTCGTGATCTTATTGAGCGCTCTGTAATCAACACAAAAGCGGACAGAGCCATCCTTTTTCCGGACCAACACCACAGGAGACGACCAGGAGCTGGATGAAGGTCGAATAATATCCCGTTTGAGCATGTCGGCGACGTTTGTCTCAATGATTTGCCGTTCAGCCGAAGAGAGACGGTATGGGCGGCGGCGTACAATGGAGCTGCCTTCGGTTTCGATGCTGTGCTCTGCAACGGAGGTGCGGCCCAGAACTTTGCAATGTACATCAAACGAAAGGCTGTGCTTTTGGAGAAGGTCTAAGAGGTCTCTCTTTTGCTCGGCAGTGAGGTGAGGACTTATGGTGTCATTTAAGGTAACAGTGGTAGCCTTGATATCAGTAGTAGCAGACAAAGGTGGTGATTCTGCGTGAAGGGGAATCAGTGAAAAGGACTCACTGTCAGCGAAGCAGCTCACAGCAGTGCCCTGGGGCAGCATCACTGGCGAAGAAGTTGGATTCAAGGCGGTGACGAATGCTTTACCGTCGTTAAACCGCACAAGGCCGGGTGCTATGGTAAGCCCCGCAGGTTTCGAGCGAACTGATGGAGCTATGAACACGTCACCATTAACTATAGTATCCGAAGCGATCGTTAGAAGTTGTTCATCTCCTGGCGAAATGAAACAATCAGTAGCAGCAATGAAACGGAAGCTGTATGGATCGACATCCGATGAACTCTCAGTAGCTGACATTCGAATGACTCGCTGACGACACGATATGAAAGCTGATGCCGAAGAAAGGAAGTCCCATCCTAAAATTACTGTGTGAGTGCACAAAGGAAGTACAAGAAACTGAATGTGGTGAATGATGCCATCTATGAAAACACGGACTGTGCAAACACTTGAAGGCTGAATAGGGACTCCATCTGCGCAACGAAGGGGAGGCCCATCGTAGGGCGTCCTAACTTTTTTCAATCGGGCACAAAAGTCTGCACGAATTACGGAATGTGATGCGCCTGTGTCCACCAGTGCCTCTGTCTGTATACCTTCAACATACACCAATAAAACATTCGATGGGCGGTCCGGAGGAGTTTGACGCAGTTCGAAAGATGCAGCTTTCCCTCCCGAAGCTGCACTGTTCAGTTTTCCAGTTGGCGGTCGGGGATTGAAGTAGAAGGTCGGAGAGGAGAAGAAGAACGCCGCATCGGTGAAGGTGAGCGACGACGTGAGAACCGGGAACTGCCAACTGGGTGAAAGTTCTGCGGAGACGGCGACCGACGTGTGCTGTTCGGATACAGCCGACGATAGGGGGGGTCCAGTCGCGTAGAAGTCGTCCCGTTCAAGGTTATCGTAGCCTCGTCGTTCGTCTTGCTGACGGCGTCGGCAAAACCTTGAAATATGACCACGGATGCCGCAATAGAAGCAAGTCGGCCGCGAACTGCGCCAGGCGTTGTAAGGCTGGGAAGATGGTCGCGGTGCGAGTGAGTTGAGCGAACCATGCACTTCGGGCGCTGGTAGCTGCATTGGGCTTTGCTGGGGTGCAGGCGTCCTAGCAGCAACCTGAGCATACGTTGGCATGGCCACAGGATATGAGCTCGGGACAGGTGTGACAGTCATCGAGGCCAGGCTCTGGTGGGGCGAAGGTGTCGTTGCAGCAACGTGAGCATAACTGGCCATGGAATGTGAACTCGGAGCTGGTGTACTAGTCATCAAGGCCAGTTCCTCCCTCACGACATCGCGCAAACTAGTGGCGGGTGGCGTCGTTCGGATATCGAGGTGGCGAGGTGAAGCCTGTGCGTGAAGTTCCTCGCGGATGATAGAGCGGATCAGTGCACGCAGCTCTGTTGTATCTTGACTGGAGCTCAGATCAGACATATCAGGTTGTACCCGAGTGGTCTGAAGCTCCTCAAGGCGCTGACAGGTAGCGACAACATCGGCTACGGTTTGCGGATTTTGCACCACAAGGGCATTAAAAGCGACAGTCGCAATTCCTTTTATTAGGTGGCGCACACGGTCGTTTTCCGCCATATTGTTGTCGATGCGGCGGCAAAGGGCGAGAACATCTTCGATGTAAGAAGTGTAAGACTCGCCAGGGCGTTGAACACGTGCGCCAAGCCTCTTTTTGGCGATATCCGAGCGCACTGACGGGTTGGCGAAAATCTGGCGGAGCTGACGTGTAAAGGCGGGCCATGTCGGAAAATCTGTGGCGTGGTTGAAAAACCACGTTTTTGCGACGCCGCTCAGGTAGAATGCAACGTGGGTGAGTTTCGCAGGCTCATCCCAGTTGTTGATAACACTCACGCGGTCATACTCCTCCAGCCAGTCTTCAACGTCTTCACCCGGAAGCCCTGCGAACAGCGGAGGATCCTTTTGAGGGCTGGTGACCAGGTGAGAAGGGTTTCTTGCCGGTGGCAGCGGTGGCGAAGCTGGCACGCTGGACTGGGCGGCTTGCGACATTACCGGACCCAGGTCGTTTAAGCGGCGGCCTGAACGGAGCTCCAGGGATGTGTTCTAGAAGACGCTGGGGTGTCCGAGAACGCGAGAGGACGCAGGAACCGGGCAGCACTCTCCACCACTTGTAAGATGGCGTCGAGAACACTCGAGACTCTCCTTTTATTGACTCGAGTATGTGCCCCACAACATAAACTTGACTGGTGATGATGAGTATTTACAGATGAAAAGATGGGACGCATAAATAATGCTCACAATATATATATGGGATATGGCACAACGGGAGCATTGTCAACAAGGATAAATATATTTATTTCCCAACAGTTTCGGGAGGGGTCCTCCCTTTATCAGGGGATGAGAAATAAATATATTTATCCTTGTTGACAACGTTCCCATTGTGCCCATACCTTCACGAAGACTAACTGATCCATTGAATTATTACTCCCACAATATATATATATATATATATATATATATATATATATATATATATATATATATATATATATATATATATACAAAGTGAAGAAGCGTATACTTAAGGGCTCGTTTTTATTGATGAGATCTAACAGACAATAATGCCAAGGAAAGTATAGGGGAAGTTATTAGACCGAATTGTAATGTAAATGTGAAGTAAGAAAAGTGGGTAAAAAGATAACTTGCCGTTGGCAGGAACCAAACCTGCGACCTTCGAATAACGCGTTCGATGCTCTACCACTGAGCTACCACGGCGGCTATCCGCCCAGCCACTTGTTATTGGGTATATATGTGAATTAAACCTGGGAGTGTCAGTCAGTGCCACTAGTAGCAGAACAAGTAGCGCATGACGGGAAGAAATACCAAGGGGAACCTACCTCGCAGACACCATAGGAGGAGTCCTTGGGTGGCACCCAAAGTTTGCCATTCTCTGCAATGTTCACTTTGACGGCCCATTCCAACCTACGCTTGGGATCCCGCGGGAATGAATGGATGCGTATACCACTACTTCTTCCTGTACGGCAGCCAACGGCAACGCATCTCATGGCGCTCGCTTCAGCGTTTCGAGATTTTCAAGCGAACGTAGAAGCGTCTTTCCGCGACAATCAGGCGACGCGGACAGAGTGGCGCAGACGGCGACGCGTGATTCCGTAGCCTAAACCAATGTTACTAGAATCGTACCATACACACCGCCGCACAACACCAAAATAAAAGAAGCGCTAACAGTCGTCGGCGCAGCGCTAGGGAAATGGTAGTAAAATGCTGTTCTGTGTTTGCACTGGATGTCTGAGTTCACGCCAAGGAGGTTCTTCTTGGTTCGCGCGCGTTCATCTAGGGACTTTACGGCTGCAGTCACCGGCTGGAAGTTGGAACAATACGGTGGTAATGGTTAGAAGATGCAACGCCTAATGTAGAAAGATGCCTGCCGCATGACAAAAAAAAAAAAAGCTGCCACACTCTTTCTTTCTTTCATTTTGAAAATGTTCTCGGTCGCTAGCATCACTTGTGGCGGACGGTGCAACAACGCAACATTTTGCATAGCCTCCGAAACAGTGATGCACACTTGCAGGTCTCAAACAACTCTCGACTGATGCACCCCTATGGGCCGATCCACGGAGGAAGGAAAAAGGTTGGCCGATCCATCTTTCTAGAGGAGGTGTTGACTGGTACCGCCCGCCGCCGTGAGGATAGTGTCGGTCGCAAGTGCTACCGCGCGGCGCTTGTTTAAAACTGAAGGCAGGCCAACTTCGCTGGGAACGCGAGCCATTCCTCAGGCATCTTTCTAGAGGAGGCGTTAGAAAATGAGAATGGCACCTAATTTCTGCAACCCTACAGTGTACTAGAATAGCAACCCGGTCGAAAGCACGGTGCAGTGCCTGGAACAATACGCAGGAATAGACACGGTATGCAGTGTGTGTGGAGAGAAGGAGAAAACAGCCCAACGCTTGATAATGTTCTGTGAAGGGCTTTATTAGGAGGATGTCGCAGAGTTTTTCAGAGCACTGGGGTTTAGAAACAGGGAGCTGAAATAATTAAAAGAAGGTTTTCTGATTGGTGGCTACAATCAAGGCACGAGTGAAAATTTAATTCTTCACTTGAAATGCCAGTCGTTAAGTTCATTATTTAAATGAAAAAAAAAAAGATACGTCTAGTTTTTGTTCACTAAGTATTACGGCTAGGTGGTGTTAGCCGCCGCCCAATCCACAGTACAGCCATATCAATCCATCTATCCATGCCATGATCAATCCAACGGTGCGGGAATGTAAACGCGCTGCCAGGGAACACCTGACTTGTGTGACCTGACACCTCTCCAAGCCACGATAACGGGGAGCCGTAGGTACTGGTAGGTGTTCTCTGGAGCCGTCCGCCCACTCATGCATTGTCAACAGCCGCATGCATTACCTCCTGGTTTTGATTTCGTCAACTAGCGGCAATAATAGGCTGTCATGAATACCTGGAGGCCGGTGTTACGAGCGCTTTAGGACTTCCTGCTGTCGAAATGAGCGGTAGGCTTTGACGTCCTTTCCATATTATCAGCTCACTGAAACCACTTTTTCCAGCAGGTCGTGAGGAGGGCATGTTGAGGCGGCGAATTCTGCAGCCGGCGGCGTCTGCTGTGCTGAGGGCCAACGCCTGCAGACGTCTTCCTAGGCGTCGCAATTCATGGATGCGCGTGTTGAGTTGTATCGTTCTACTTGTGTACGGCGCCTTCCCCGCTGCCATTTACTTCTCTGGATGGTTCAGAAGGTTCCTGATCTTTGGTCATTACCTAAACTGGCCACCCATGATGAACTTGACGGATACGTACGCCTATCAGCTCCCTTACTCGAGGTCCTTCTTCCTAGAGTCGGCTAAGGGTGTTATGATTGGGACTTGGCACGTTGTGCCGAAGAGCCAGTGGAAACGCTTTGGTGCCAATGTTAAGCCGGAGTCCGAATTTCAGGATGACAGGCCAGTCATCATATACTGCCATGGTCATGCAGAAACCCGTGCTACTGACTACCGAGTTCAGCTGTATAAGAGACTTTCAGAGAGTGAAATCGATGCCCATGTGGTGACGTTTGATTACCGTGGCTTCGGAGACTCTACAAACATTATGCCCAACCGCAGTGGTGTACTTGAGGATTCGCTGGCCGTCTACAGCTGGGTTAAAGAAAAGGTGCCCAAGTCGAGGATTATTGTCTGGGGCCACTCTTTGGGCACCGGTGTTGTGATGCAGCTTGCAGAGATCTTCACTGAGACAAATGACAATCCTGCCGGCATCGTACTGGAAGCACCGTTTAACAGCCTCGTGGAAGCTGCCCTGCAATGGCCCCTGGGACTGCCCTATCGATACTTGCCTCTGTTCAGAAGAATGGCACAGCCACTCCAGCATGATGACACAAACTTTGAGTCAGAGCAAAAGGTTGGCAAGCTGAGTGCCCCTGTTCTGATCATGCATTCCAAAGATGATCCTCTCGTACCCTATTACCTTGGTCAGAAACTGCTTTCTCGCATGCAAGCTCAAAGGCCAGCCCATCTGCCAGCGCCAGTGTTTTATGAGGTTGACAACAGTGTGGGACCAGGGCATCGGCGAATTTACAAGGACCCCAAGTTTCCATTGGTAGTCTCTAATTTTATTCGAAGCGTCATAAACTTGTAGTTCAGACCTGTTAGGTTGCCAAGCTTGCATTTGGAAGTCATTACACATGCGAGCTTGGCAGTTATTACAAGTATTAGTCATAGGAGCTGCACACGATGAACTAAAAAAATCTTACTGATCCCATATAAATGTCAGTCGTTCTTTCTGTGCTTGCACTTTGAGTGTTACCCATGCTATATTTGGGTGGTATATAAAGAGCCAGAGCAGCATAGTGTGTTGGACATAAGAAAAATCTGATGCTTAATTGGGTAAAGGTGGAGGTTTAATCATTGTAGGTAGAGCAAAACTTTCCTAGTGACTGAAAGAACTAACCAGAAGTGCCAGGGTTGTGGCTTCGGTGAGTTGGTTCATGCTTATAAGAGAGTTCATGCTTGTGAGAGGCAGCCCAACAGCAGCTCTGTTTGTGCCTTCTTCGTCTTGTGCCTGTCTGAATTTTGTACTGTTTTTCTTTATAACCATAAGTGCTTACTTAAACTTAGTTTTTGAGATGTGCATACATATATGTACTAGGAAACCAAAAAAGAAGCCCACATGCCAAGTCAATGATTATTCAACTATTATCTGTATCGAGGAGCCCATCAAGCTAACAAAGTTTTTTTTAGTAAGAGATATAATTGGCATGCTCACACTTTCAAGGTCACTTAGTTTCATTTCAGCTGCCTTGGGAATCAAGCAAGTTGGCAATTCTATATCGTGGTAAACAATGTTTGTGTTATGAAAGTATGGTAGACAACCGCTGTCGCTATAGCAAACTGTCAGATGATCATCGGCACATTTTTGCACCTTGTTATTTTCTCTGAGCCACCCTTTGTTACACTTTTGGATCTGCCCAACGTAGACGTGACCTCATAAAACAGCCTGTGCACCGGGTGCATACTTATTTTTATGCTGTATGCCCCTTTTTTTACGAGACAAGTTTTCCTCCACAGTTTAGGTTTAGATAGTACTTCTAGAGCAGACGGAATACTCTAATGCCACCTGTACTATCTTTTTGTGATTGTGCACTACACATTAAGTATAAGAAAATGCAGCAGCTTTTCGCTGCTGCTAGGATTCTTAATATCCCAGGGAAAATTTCCTTTCTTTTTTTTTTAATTTTTGTTTACTGATTCAGCGACAGGTGCTATGAGCCCGAAGGAGTAGCCAGCTGCTTGCACTTGTGAAACCACCAGCAAATTTAGTTCTCCTGAAGCTGTGAAGTAAGGTGCATAGACTTGAATGTCTCGCCAACAGACAGGCATTTCATGTGTTAGTACTAAAGGCTGGCATATTCTTTTAAACACATTTGGAACCAAGTCTGTGCAATGTTGAATTGTGTAATGCAATTCGAGGCTGGCAAACTAGTGGAATGTCAGTTTGGGGATTTTTTAGATTTTCGGCTATATACTTACCGTGTAATTTATGAACTGCAATGGAAACGTTTACATCCAGAAGCAATGTACTTGCATTAGGTCGGGAATATCCCCAGATCTTAGTCATATTTTTATGATACTTTCATTGGCACTCAAGTCACAAAAATGCTCACACAAGCAATATACACATGCCAAGGTGAAAAATTAAAAAAAAAGGACATTGCGTTTTCAGAGCTGGGCGGAGAGAAACCCGCCGGCAGTGCCTCTTCTATGGCCTGAACCGCAAAATAAACTACAGTCATTTTGTGTAGATGACACAAACATATACAGTCGAACGCCTGTATACGAGACATGCTCTGGGCAGCAATTCTTGTCTTTTATATTAGGTGCCTTTTATAAGCAAGATAACATGTATGCATTTTTTATCAACTCGTATTTTACTGCAGGCACACTAGCGTCTCTTATACCCATTCGTCTCTTACATCAGTGCCTCTTATAAAGGGTTTTGACTGTAATCCGTTTCACAAGCTGTTGGCAGTGAAGTGGAAGGCACGGCCGTTCCTAGCCAATCGTCACAGAGAGCACTTCATAATTGTATTCCTACGCAAATGTGGTGTCCGCGAATCTGACGAGTGGCCCCATCTGTGTGGAAAAATTTGTATTATACTAATTAACTTTCTAATTTCATTTTAGATGGCGGTGGGCAACTTTTTGGTCTGTTTTGTCAATTTTTCAATGGGCCGACATTCTCATTGAAAACTGGCCCCACTTTGTAAGTCTTTATTTAATGTCACTTGTTCCTTTGAGTTAATGTCACGTCAAAGCTTTTTTAAAAATGTTTACGCCATGGGTACAGAAAGAACATTTACTTTATTTTGGGGTCAATCAATGCAAAGCTTTGTTTTCCAAAATACACCATGTTTTTTTTTATGTTTGCTGCTGTCACTGCCATAGCATTAAATGATCTCAATCTGTATGCACCCGTAATGATTGCCATGAGCCCCGGTATAAGAGGTCACATCTCATCTTCTTCATCACAACTTGAACTTGGCGTTCCAGCGTCGCAGAAGGCAGTGGCGACATTAGTGTCACTTCTATGAGAAATACTTTCTGACAGCGTTTCTTGTACTTGAAACCAAGCTGCTTCAGGATCCTCTGCATCATCGCTGTGAATGCGATCGGTAGCATCTCGTCCTCTTCGAAATGCTGCACCACTCTAACAATAGTTAGCATTTCACCTGTCCCAAAGATATGTACACCACACATTGAAAGTTCTTCAATGGCTGTGCTCTTTTCTCGCTCATCACTCGCAATTTGTCACAGTTAATAACAGTTCCTCCATCACTTCTGCAGTTCATTCAGGTGTGCCTCAAGGCTCGGTACTTGGGCTCTTGTGCTCTTTCATATCTATATTAATGACTCACCTGATAATTTATGTTCATCAATTAACTTGTTTGCTGATCACTGCAATATATAGTGTGTTATTAGCAATGACTCTGATGTTCTTCAATCTGATATAAACCATGTTGGTGACTTGACCAGCACGTGGAACATGGAATTATACACTAAAAATTCAAGCATATGTGTGTTTCTCGTCTTAATACTACACTGGCGGAAATGTTGTAGGCCCGTGTGCTCAGATTTGGTTGCACGTTAAAGAACCCCAGGTGGTCGAAATTTCCGGAGCCCTCCACTACGGCGTCTCTCATAATCATATGGTGGTTTTGGGACGTTAAACCCCACAAATTAATTTTTTTTAATACTACACTGCAATTCTATCATCCTTACAATAGTAACCTCTAATATGTGTCATTTTACATATATCTAGGCATAGGTATCTCTTCTGATCTGTCTTGGAAAATGCATGTAGATCATATAACTAATAACGCTAATTGCATGCTGGGTTATATATATATGTCACAATTTTTACCTTTCTTCTAGTTCTTAGAAACAACTACTTTATAAACCTTTAGCTTGCTCCAAATTGGAATATGCTGCTGTGTGGGACCCCTGTCAAGAATCGCTTATCTTTCAGCTTGAATATGTCCAGAGTTGGGCTGCTTGTTTCATCCTTTCTATCTATTATCACACCTCCACTGTCACTTCCATGAAAACAAGCTTGTCATTGCCTCTGCTATCAGAACGTAGAAAAATGACACCTCTGCCTGTTCCTTAAGAGATATTATGGCAATCCCATCCTGAAGAATAAATTGATAGCGCATGCTTCGTAGGTATCTGGCCGCATCGGCCATCCTCACAAAGTTGGTATTCCCTCATGCTTAACCGACCATTTCTTTAATTCATTCATCCCCCGTACTACAGCAAGTTTGTACTGCCTTCACCGATTGGTAGTCGAGATGAAATGGCTGATTATGCTAAGTTCAAGGCTGCTTTAACCTGCTATCGTTATAATGCTTTTGCGCCATTGCTTTCATATGCCTTTCTAACTGTCCTCTTAGTGTTCCTATTTTGTTTGTGCCAATATTTTCACATGTATTCCTTGGTTCATAAGCACGTGCCCGTGCTTTGAGTGCTATTTCATTTTGTATCCTTACTATAAAGTACCTGTTTTACGCTTTGTATTTTTTTTCAGTGTTCTTGCTGTTTTTGTACTGTGTGCAGTTTATTGTCAATTTTTTTCTTTTTTCTTTTTTATGAAAACATGTACTACGAATGTAACCCACTCCACTCTGCCATGCCCTTGGGCCCTGAGGGTACTGAAATAAATAAATGAAATTGCAAGACTCTGACGTCGAAATTCTCAGCTTCTTCGCTCGATCACGGCCTTTCTCATAATCGGAACACTTGTTCGGTGGCAGGACTCTGCCCACGCTCTCCGCCAGTGTTTTCTACCAATCGAATGTTTGCTCATTCACGTGGGTAAGTTTTTCTGGCCTCTCAAGAGAATCTACGCTTGCACTCTCCCCACTCGACGTGAAGAACTTGAAAAGCGCACTTGACGTGAAAGTCGCGCATGCGTGCATGCGCCACCAATAACATCAATGACTGAAAACGTGCAGCTAGAATTGCATTTGTAATCTAGGGGCGCTTTTTCGCATTACACCAATGTGCTGCGCTAAAAGTGACGTTCCGAAAGTGATAGATTATGGTTTGAAATTTTTAGAAATGCCCTTTTTTGTCATTATTCCCTTGGCAAGTGGAGATATTGATAAGCGGAGATATTGAACGCTTTGTGGCGCTCTTAAATATTTGGTCATAGCTTTTCGATAAATGCATTTACTTACCTGAAAATTGTTTCTCACTTTGTTTTTAGATTCATCGTGCGAGAATTTGTGCATATTGTAGGAGGACAGCAAGTCGGAATGCAGCGTGACAAGCCTAGTTTAAGAAATGATGCGGTACCCACCCTTTCCCCAAACCTGCCTAAATATATGGCGAAGAGTTTGCCTAAAGAACGAAAAATAAGAAATACTGCTTCATCGGACTGCGTACCAGCAAAGAAGTGTCCTAGCGTCTTCGGACAATCGCCAATATGACTCGACGAGCACTGAGGATCTTGAAAGTGTCGCCGACGGCCCTGCCAAACATTTTATATATGAGCTGCGATTACCATCTGGGCATTGGTCATTGCAGTCATTCTAAAGCCACGACTCCATGTCATATCACATCACACAACTGAGGAGGGGCCTCGGAAAAATGAACGTGAAGAGGAAGCTGAAGGTGACTCTGAGGCACCCATGGATGCCGCTGAAGTGGTCGCAAACCATGCAGACACACCGAGCAACGCAGCGATGTTCGACTTGTCCACTATATTTAGGGATATGTGGCCAGAAAATGCATTCTGCCTTTGGCCTGTACACTTTGCAAAAATGCTTGTATCGTGTTTCGAGACAACACTGCAGCAAGAGAGCTGCCAAGTCAGGTGACTAGAGATTGGAATCTAGGGGGACATCTATATCCATCAGAGTATCTGTACAACCAGGTGTTCTGTGGTACAACCTTGTACAGACTATGGAAACCAAGTTGACACATGTGTTTAGCACAGTTCGCCTGCATTCGAATGTGGTAGCCAGTCTTCTGCGATCTGTATGCAGTGAAGTCCCGAAAATTGGCTGCATTGAACATTGCAAAGAGTGTCTCAGTGTGTATACGTGTTTCAGAATACTGCCTCAAATGTAACACAAATCCAGCAATGAGAAAATGGCAGTGCATAAGTGCAGATATGTTTAGCAGCAAACATTGTCACAATCTATTGCAGTTACTAACATTGTCAAAGATGCCACGCTTCCGCTAGAGCATGCTTCTTCGTTTTGACTGCGTTAAGACGTGGTTCAATGTTCTAGAAAATAAAACTATTTCGTTTCCATTAAGCATCTAAACAGTGGTGCTGTCGGAATGACACTCTGTCACAAATTTCGCTCTAATGCAATGTTCGCTCAGCAAGATGTGTCTATTCATAATTGCGGAAATTGCTGTTTGATTTTACTTTTACGAAAATCTTGTACTGGCGAAAGACTCGGAGAGACCACCATGGGTGCATTGTAACCATGATTGCAACCACAGAGGAAGGAAAGGTTCCTCCGTGATTGCAACGGAGAAAACTGGCAGGATGGATGGATGGATGGATGGATGGATGTGGCTGTACCCTTAGATCAGGTGGCGGCTAACGCCACCTAGCCGTAATACTTAGTGAACTAACTATTAGATTTATCTTTTTTTTTTCTTTAAATAGTGAGGTTGAGGATTCGTACTTTGCAACGAAGGGTTTAATTTTCACTCGTGCCTTGACTTTAGCCACCAATCAGATAACCTCCTTCTAGTTAAGTCTACCCGCTTAAAGTCTATTTTGCCCTCCCTGTCCCTAAACTCCAGTGCTTTGAAAAACTCTGCGCCATCATCCTGAGCTATAGGGTGAAGCCCTTTACAGAACATTATCAAGTATTCGGCAGTTTCTTCTTCCTCTCCACACGCACTGCATACTGTGTCTACCCCTTCGTATTTGGCCCGATATGTCTTGGTTCGCAATACTCCCGTCCTGGCCTCAAACAGTAGAGAACTACCCCGAGTGTTATCATAGATCCTTTTTTTGGCAATTACTTGCTTAAAAGTTCGATAGATCTCTGGTGCGGACTTCTTAATCATGCCAATTCTCCACATGTCAGTCTGTTTTCTTCTTAACCAATAGTTCTTTTTGGTTTGGCCACCTGCTGTTTTCTATGTATATACCAGTCAATTTTCTGGTTCGCTTCCTCCATTTTGTATCGACATTCTTCATGTACAAGTAGCCGAAAACCTTCCTAGCCCAACGCTCCTCCCCCATTTCTCTCAATCGCTTCTCAAACTTTATCTTGCTGCTAGCTTCCCTGCCCTCAAATGATGTCCATCCCGTACCACTTTGTACTCCCTGATTTGGTGCATTCCCGTGAGCTCCAAAAGCAAGCCTACCTATTCCACATTGCTTAATTTATAATCTTGCTTGAACTTTTGATCTCATGCACAAGACCACATTGCCGAACGTCAGCCCAGGAACCATGACCCCCTTCCATATTCCTCTCACAACATAATACCTATTGTAATTCCACAGTGCCCCATTTTTCATCACTGCTGCATTCCTGTTACCTTTAGTCGTCATGTATATTTCATGTTCCCTTAGGTACTCGGTCCCATTGCTTATCCATACGCCCAGATATTTGTATGTATCTGTTATCTCTAGCGTGACCTCCTGTATTCTAAGCTCACTACCTTCGTTATCATTAAAAATCATGGCTGCCGATTTTTCCTTACTGAATCTAAAATCTAATCTATCTCCCTCATTACCGCAGATGGCCATCAATCTCTGCAAATCTTCCTTGTTGTAGGCCATTAGCACTATATCATCTGCGTACATTAATGCTGGTAGTGCCTGATCAATGAGTTTTCCTTGTTTGACTAAAGAGAGGTTGAAGCCAAGTCCACTTCCCTCTAATTTGGCCTCTAATCCTTGTAGGTACATCATCAATAATAAGGGTGACAGGGGGCACCCCTGCCTAAGCCCTCGTTTTACCTCTGTGGGCTTGGATACCTGTTTTTCCCCACTTTATAACTACCTTGTTACTTTTATAGATTTCCTTTAAAAATAAGTCACTCCATCTTCCACACCCAGTGTGTCTAGTATTCCCCACAAATCTTCTTGAACCACGCTATCGTACGCTCCCTCGATATCCAAAAATGCTAGCCACAGGGGCCCGAGTTCCTTTTCTGCTATTTCGATGCACTGCGTCAGTGAGAACAGATTGTCTTCCAATCTCCTGTGTTTCTGAAACCCATTCTGCAGTTCCCCTAGCACCCCCTCATCCTCTATCCATGCCTGCAGTCTTTCCTTTATAATCTGCATCGCCAGCCTGTAGACCACTGATGTCACTGTTATAGGACAGTAGTTGTTTATGTCATCTTTGTCCCCCTTTCCTTTATAGATCATGCTCATCCTGCTAAGTTTCTATCTATCAGGGACTTCACCTTCGATTATTGTTCTGCTCACTGCCTTTCTCAAAGTCTGTTTAGACTTCAGACTTAATGTCTTTATCAGCATAATTGGAATGCCATCTGGGCCTGTTGACGTACTACTTGAAACCCTCTTCTCAGCCCTTTTCCGCTCTCGTTGTGAAAATGGAGCCATTGTGCCACTTGATCCATCCCTGTCTATTGTGGTGCATAAGGCACTTCTTCATTGAAATTTTTCTGTCACCCTTGTTCTTATATATTCAATAGCTTCGTCCCCTTCTAGCCTAGCACCTTGTGCTGTAGTTATAAACCTCTGCTCTAGGTTTGTTTCATTTGTTAGGGAGTTTAGATGGTTACAAAATTTCGCAGCTGCCTTTCTGTCCTTTTTATGTACTTCTGCCAGCCACTGAGCAACCTTTCTTCTAATCTTTTCATTGATCAGGAGGGATGCTTACCTTCTAGAGCTTAGAAAGATGTCCTATCTTCTTTCAACATCATCTGTCGGTTCACCCCGCTGCTTAGCATGTTTGTGTTCCCTAGAGGCTTCCTGACGTTTTGCTATGGCTCTCTTAACTTCCTCATCCCACCAACTTTTGGGCTTGTGTCTTCTTTTCCGAGGTGACTTGTCAGGTGCCTTAGCAAGCTCTAGCCCAAACAGGCTAATTAGATTTGTGTATGTCCACACATTCCTATTATCCTCATTGATTATTTTCTCAATTTGTTTTGTACCAATCTCTATTTGCCTTTCTGAATGAACATTTTTCTGTAGTTGCTCATCTTGTCTCCTTCCCACTTTCGCTGCTCTTCCAAAACGTAGCTTGATACGTTTGTGATCACTACCCAGCCTTCTGGAGCTACCTTTATCTATGTGCATTCCCCTAAGCTTATCATACATACTATGTGACATCAGTGCGTAATCTATCCTTGACTGCAGCCTTCCTACCTCCCATGTTATTTGCCCTTCACACTTTTTGGTACTGTTGCAAATGATCAAGTCATGCCTTTCATACATATCCATGATCATTTTGCCTGTTGAGTCAGTATACTCATCTATATCTTCAATGTGTGCATTCATATCTCCTAGTATAATTATCTCGCACTCTCCTCCTAACTCCTGAATGTCATTTGATATACACTCTACGATTGCCTGGTTTTCCTCTCTGGCCTTTGCTCCCGTCCCGTCCAAAAGTACACGAAACCAAGGAGTGTCATTTGCCCTGCCACTTTTCCTTTTAGCCATAAATGTTCCTTGCATCCCTGCTTGACTCTTTGCCAACCCATGCTCTTATGTATAAATGCACCAATTCTACCCCCTTTTTGCTGCCTTCTGTCCTATTGCGAAATTCCCATATGTAGCTCAAATTGCAGGGTGGTTGCTCCAGGTCCCGCAGATGTGTCTCCACAACCCCATATACCATCAGCTCCTCCTGCCTCAACTGCTCTTCTATCTCTTCCTACTTTAACCTATTCCTGCCATCCTGCATGTAGATATAGTCTACGTCTGACCTAGCTTGCCCCTTGTGCTTACGCCGATTTCTTCTCTCACGGACTTCGTGTGGCTTGAATATTTGTGCCCCTTTAGGTCCGTCTTTGGCTACACTGTTGGCCTCAGGGCTCTGGGTTCCCCTAAAAAAACTATAGCTTGGCGACCCATTCTGTTACTGACCCTCCTGCTCGTCACACGACTGTAGTGAATGCCATTCTGTGTAAAGGGGTGAGCGCCGGGCTCGTACACGTCTTGTTTAACTTTCATTACGCTGTATCCGAGTTGCCGGCTCAACCCCTTAATCACCCTTGGCGCTGTAGTCGGAGGCAGCGCCTCCAACTGCAGCGCTACTGCTGCAGGCTCGCGAGCAGGAGCCACCTTGGAGCGGCCGGTTCACACATCTCCCAATTTTAGCCACCCTGGTGCTGGGGAGCATGTGGGATAGTGCAGTATAGACCTATTCCTCAATATAGGGATCTGGGGAAATGAGACTGTTTAAAATATTCACGGTGCTGATTATATGGAGAGCCTTGAAACGTAGAGCTTCTCAATGTAGAGCTTCGGGTCAGAGAGCTCATGCCATGTAAATAATGTAAATAAAGCCTATCTACTAAGTTCAACCTCCTCCTGCCTCGACATCTCTACCTTCAGTGCCTGTAAACCCCGGTCGCAACAACATGCTCTATCGAAGTCGAAAGCCACGACGCATTCTCTAGGTACACCTTAGCTAAAGCCAAGCGTTGGCGTGGTGTAAAAGTGGGAATAATCTGCCATTTTGTAGAAGAAAAACCGAGGCATAGTAGAGCACAAATGCATTACGCCAACAGATACTGAAAAGAGAAACGAATTATCCATGCAAGTTCGTTCACGTTGATTCCCCACACAAAAATGGTGGATGCTCTCTGCACTGCCTGATCTTTATCTCACGAGCAGTTTAGTACCTGACACACGTAAATAACCTTTGTGACAAGCAAGGCATTGCATAGCTGCGTACAGGCGAACACTGAAAGATCTCCCCACCCATGCTTACAGACGCACTTGACAAGCGGGAGTGACGAGCGTTGGTGCACTATTCCCACTAATACCTGCAGATCTAGAGGGTTTCATACCCGGCTAATAATGAAATTTCAGTAAGTTTTAGTTTTCTTCATTTTCACGACCGCTCCATATACGTCACAAAACTGCTTAGTCTTTTTGAACGCTACTTTTTGTCAGCTTATAAATACACGCTATGTCAACGTTTTGGCTTTAGCACATTTAAGCTTAAACATTATCAAAACAACACATTCGTTCAGAAATGCTCACCATGCAAATACTGTTGTAGCGTAAAAACTGCTCCCATTGTAATTAATTGGGTGGTTTTACAGCACGGGATATGATGCTAAGTTACTTTCCCTCAGCTTTGGTAACGTG